CTTTTTTGCCAAGTTCCCTTCGCGTGGCCGCTCATCGAAACTACATAAGCTCTACTTACCCCCGCGGCAATAGTGTTGGCTTTGGTTTGAGGTTTGGTCGCGCCAAGCCGCGTGTTTGTGGTTTTGCTGTCGGCGCTCCGAAGTAGACTCTGCGCACACTGTATATCCACATATATCCACAGACTCTGTCTGACTGTGTGTCCTGACGACAGCACTCGAGTACTGTGCAAGAGAGTGAACGGGACGCGATCGATATAACGATAGATGTTCTGCGAGCAGACAGCTCGAGCTTATCGACGAATCGCGTGCCGCACCGCTCCCGTGTGATTTGTGGGGATAAAAACGCGCGGGATCGGTCGGTGTCAGATTTTTCAACGATGAGAAAAAAGCCCACACCAAGCGGGGTCGGTGGAGCTGATAGCTAAGCGAGGAAAAATCGATGATTATTTTGCAGAAAAAGGAAAAAAAGTCTTCCCGTATGGGACACCGGGTTTTTAAAGGTAGCGAAAGCTCGCGTTTCGACACAACTCTCCCAACTATTCCTATTTGAACGAAAAACAATAAACAAAGAAATGGAAATACAAACTTAAAAAAAAAGTGTAGTGACCGTAAACTAGTACAAAAATAAATCAACATAAAATACGACGATAAATAATAATCGAGATAATTCATGACTTGTGATGTTTATTCGGGAGGTAATAATTAGAAGTGACTAATGAATCTAGAAAGAAAAACAAAGGACTTGGTGTTGAAAATAAACCCGTAGAAGACCGTAGGTGGACGATATATCGATATTTCCGACACGCTCTATTCCATTATCCTCGTTATCCCCAAAAGCGCGATCAAGCATAACACAATCTAACATCTTAATAACACAACTCGGTACGAACCGCCTTCCAGTTCATTACCCATTCCTGTCTAAGGGTGAGAGCGAATCGAGGATAACGAACCTCTCGGAGCTCGTCGATGGTGGCGGCCTGCACACCGAGGATCAATTGAAGAATCGTTCGGGCTAATTAATTGGAGAATAATCTGAGGAGAGCTTAATACAGACATACCCGTCTGTAGTATGACGATGACTCTTGTCGAAGAGGAAAGAGATCCGAAGTCGAGCGGGAGAGATGCGAGGGAGAAAATCCTCGTCACACGAATACGGTATAAAGTGCAGACAAATCAACAATATTAAGAGTGTATATAGCGATGGAATAAAAAACTCGTTCGTCCCGATTCAAGCCTCGTTCACAAACAATACGTGTTAGAGTCTTCGCCGTGAAATATTTGGGAGAATAAAAACCAATCAAAGGCTTTATTTACTTTATACTCCAGATTTTTATAAAATCATATTCGCGCGATATTTGATCGTCGTGAAACACGCGGATTTCTGCTAATATTAAAATATATTACAATATATGTGTGTGTGTGTACGCGCGTCCGTATGCGCAATATTCGTATATAGCGAATTTCCGACGATGCAAGAGACGAAAAAAATTACCCACATCCCGGCTAGGAATCGAAATGCATTTTCTTATCAGACATCTCTTCCTCGTCCGATTTCCGCCCAAGTACCGATCGCCAAAGCCAATATCCTTACGTTTTACCGGGATTCAGAAACCGCGACCTGCATCGCAGAATAGTATCGATAAATCGAGAAATTCTCCGTTTAAGATACGAGCCGACGTACATCGGGCAAGCGACCAAAGAACAATAATGCCATGGAGAATTTTTACTTCCGGCCGGATGCGTGCCACCGGCTACGGTTGAATTTACATTTTCGTTGGCTGCACATCGCGAATCATGCGTTTCTTCCATCCGTTTTTTCGCCGCGCTCGCGAATAACGCGAATAGCGCGTGCACGCGGTCTCTCGCGATTTCACTGTATTGAAGCGTAAAAACCGGCAGCCGTACGTGTGACCACATGCACGTCTAGTTAACGAAATTCCAAATAAACCACTGCAGGAATTCCGATACAATACACACGAGGAAAACAAGTATTCACGCAGTTAAAACATTAAGATACGCGAATCCGCACTTCATTCACGCGCGCGATGACAGTGAGTTTTTCGCATTCGCATTCACGAACGCGAAGATAATAGCTACGCAATTCAGATTGTGACATAAATAAATGTAGATTTACAATTAAAATAAGTAAATCAGAATTCTAATTGTCTTGATCAAAACTTTAATTCAAACGCGGTGGCGAATAATGGCAACTATCAAGTTAAAAGTTTTGATGTAATGCGATTAACTATATATTCCCTCACTATGAAAATTTTAAGAGACTAGAGAAAATTTCTCAGCAAAGTATCATATTGCAGCGATACACGTATTAAAAAAAATTGGAATTTTAATATCTTAGCAGTATTTCTCTCCGCTGCTGTATCTTGATTCGCGGCAACGGACGGTTGATCTTTACGGCGCCGATGGGCGAATAAAAAGAAGCTATGAAAAATCTCGTTGCAGCATCGATGAGGATTAAATATCGCGAATTTTTCTTCGATAATACGCGAGCGCTCACCTCGCCGAGCGCGATCCAGAAGACCAGAAAAATGTAGAAATACGTTAAACGCGATAAAATTTTTTCGCGCGTAAATGTACCCGTTAACGACGTCAAGCGCAACTTCAGAGAGATTGCGAAATAATTCGGATTCTCTGGCAATGAATGCAAAATTATATCAAACGAAGTTCAAAGCGATATAAAATATCCCGCCTTGTTCCGTCCCGCTGTTATAAATAAAAAAAAAATCTTTGTGATTCATACGCGCCGCATGTATTTAGATTGAAATTAGAACTTTTATTCGTCTCTCGAAAAATTTGCAAAATTAATGTAAAATTAAATTCCTCTCTTTGTATATTATATTCTGTTATTATCCTCTTTACGTTTATCATGGCTACGTACGATCGACTGATATTGCGATTTCTGTTACGCGCAAAATTACACGTGTCATTATGATCAATCGGAAAATAAATGCTTGTGAAATAATATCGGAACGATCCGCGTCCAGCGGCAGTAATTGGCCGATTTAACTTTACAGCAATTATTTTCCGTTCGATATGGTATCAGCGTGAACTTGAATGCGGTAAGTGGTGGACAGAATAATCATAGGATAATAACACTGATTCCGATGAGGAGGCATGAGGGGTGCTTTAAGTGCGTGTTTAGCGGTTGCGATCCCCAGTGGCCTTTCCATGGGACACTAAAGGGTACTAAGGGGCAGTATAAAGCTCGTAAGGAGGGGTGGTAGTGAGAGGTAAGGCATTGCGCGTACAATATAAAATCACGCCGCGCAGGCACCCGACAAAGTATTGTCCGGTTCGATCTTCGGTGTATTTCAATACCAAAATCCCCGCAAAAAGACGTAGAAAGTGAGATCGATTTGGTTTGATTCAATTCTCGAGAAGAAAAAGCAAAAAGTCTATTTTCGAATACGCACTTTCCGTATGAATAGTATAATGTATAATCAAAGATAATTTCTCTTCTCATTCGGGACGTAAATTTCAATAAATTGTATTGCCATCGAAATTGGAATCCTGAGGCAAGTTCCAGCGCGTACATTAAAAGGCAGTGAAAGAGCTGATAGCCAATTTACAGAATGAAGAAAAATATGCGGAATCCAATCAAAGTTAAAATAAGATGTATAAATTTAAATTCTAAGTTTTTAATTTTTTTTAATTCTAACTTAATGTTTTAATTCTGAAAAATAAAGTCGTTTCTTGTTTCTAAGTAACTAATATAAAATTTAAATCACATTTTACGTCAGTGCTGAGTTTGTCAAAATTGAAATAAGATAATCGATGAAGACACATCAGTAAAAAAAAGTCTGCACGCATCTGAGACATCGCATATGTCCCGCCGGAACGATAGAACTCTTCAATTTGAGTCTCGGAAAACGAGATGACGACTATTCGAGTGGCGCGACGTATAGTGTGAGACGAACTGGCGCGGATCCAGAAAGTGCCAATTCAATCTTACTTCCCTTTCCGGATGTAAAATTTCAGGTAGCCGTCGAACTTCCGACTTCCGACGTCGCTCGTTCCGACTACTGTAGCGTTACGAGTATATGTTTCGGGCTCGTTCGCAAATACGAGCGATATCATAATGTGATTTAGTTTTCAAGTTGTTCAAAAGCATTTTCTTTGATATCCATATTTTTAGAGCGGATTAAACCATTATAAAATCATTAAAAGTTGTACATGAATCTCATTTTTACGATATCGAAAAACACGATAAAAGATAAAATAAAATATGTTCCTATTCTCTTTGCTATTTGTACCACCCTATATGTTTAGAGCTATCTTTGGAATAAATTACTTAATACATAAAAACTTGAAATTTTTAACATTCGCGGTGTTAGTATTAAAATTTAACTGTCATCAGACGAGTAGTCATTACCAATGTGATCTTCACTGTTTGGAGCAAGAAAATATATAAAATATGATATGCATCTGCGATGTCATTAATTTATTCCGTGTACGAAAGCAGCTGAGTGAGATGAGTGCGCCAGATGAGAAAATTATTCAAGATCCTCAAAGATATGTATTCCTCTTCGCCCTCGATTTTTCTCCACCGTCCCACGCTTCGAATTTAATGAGGTCCTTTATTGATGAATGGCATTTATCAAAGTATCTCGGTATCAACCGACCGCGTGCGACCTAACGGTATCACGTACGCATAATTTTAGGCCAACTTCATTTTCTCGTGAAAACTGAGTTTAAAAAATCAACAGAAACGAAACGTGAAAAACAAAGTACATTATACGCTTCAAAATTTTAATTAAAAGTCGACTTAGCAAAATATTAATTTTTAATATTTACGTTAAAATTGTTAGTAGTAAAGATACCCCGCTCGGTTTAATAAAGATGATTAAATCTTTAAATCTTTAATATCCAGCAATAATATAGGGTGGTACAAGCGTATATTATTAATTTATTAACTTTTATTAAATTATTTAGTATGATCTTGTTCCATTGATATTTCAACAGTTATAATGAAATGTACATACCTTAAATGATCCAAGATCCTTTACACTGCATGCTAATTTAACGTTTCGTCCTGCTGGTACTGTAATATTTCCTATTTCATCGACGAATTCGGGATCAGGGATGGTGGCAGCTGAAAGAAGAAGCAATACTGATATTAGTGCAAAATTCATCAATGTATTTAACGTATTATTACTGTAAAATTACAAGAAAATATTTAAGCTAGTCTTTCATGATTAATTAAATTCTGCGTTTATGCTATTTGTGATGCTATTATTAATATCATCGTCATGTCAAACTTTAATTAAATCAAAATTAAGTACCGTTCGCTGGATGAAAACACCTGTAATATCAGTGTAATATCAATGCGACAAAATCTTGAACTAAATTTACTTGACAAATATGAGACAGTTTCGGGATCTGTCAAACATCGTCACGGCTTTGGAAGGCGAGCGCGAACTCGATCGACAAAATCCGATACAAAGTTCGACAGCGAAATTTTTTGAAATCACAACGTCAGTGAGTTTCCACGAATGTGCCAGAGGGAGTATACCATCCGTGCGCATCCCCCTACAGTTGCTTACTTCGGGAAAGGATCGATCGATCTACAGGGCGGTGTACGCGTGGCTGCGTGGATGCGCTTTGAGTTATAGAAGCTCACCAGTCGGCGTGACAGCTTAGTTATTGAATACAAAATGCAATTTTTCAAGTCTCTCTACGTTCCGCGGTATCCCACACCACCGGCAGGCTGTCCCCCCCCCCTCCCCCTCCCTCCGACGTCTCGAGAGTGCGGCGGAGGCCCTTCGTATGTGTGGTGATCGAATCTACGAGAGGATTTCGAGATGCTTATGGAGATCGAGCTCTCTCCCATCTGTCCCGGCGCCCGCGATCGCATCTTCTCCGTCGCGTAATGTTATTTCATGCGTGCGGCCCGCATTTGTGCAGAAGTGCCGCGCGCGCAAGACACGATACGCGCGAGTTCGTAATGGGTATGTCGCGGAAACGAATTTACACACGATATCACTTTGTCTACCATGTATCTTTTAGCGCGTCGAATTATATACGCAACAACTTTCGGGTATGCTTCCCGCCTGCTCGCAGCCGCATATTTCATCTAAATATTTATGAAAATTCGCACTGTAATCTCGCGCAAATCTCGCGCTGCAATCGTCCGACAGATGGGCGTTGATTTAAAAATGTCCACCAACGTCTGGTCGCATTAATTTTTATCCGTGTATATCTTTCAAATAGATTTCAAGATAAAAAGTCGAGATGGAAATACAGAAAAAGAAGCGAATCGAGGGAAAACTAGGATTCTGTGTATCTGGAATTATTTCCCCAAGAATGCCGCTACTTTAAACTTGAAATCCGATTTTGCTAACAACACGTATTTCGTTGCGCACGAATGTGGTCATAAGATTAGAAAGAGAGAAACGAGGAACAAAAGAAATTCATAGTATTCTCGAATAAAATTCATTAAAATAGCATGCACAGCGGAAATCAAATATAACAATCACATAATAATATTACAGTTAAATAGATGTGAAATAACAGTGCGGAATAAGAAAAATATCGCGAAAAAATAATTATGTATATCGGATGAAGGAGAAAACAGAAAAGAAGTAAAAGAAGAAAAATATTAGATGCAGACAAGAATGGAGGAAGGAGGAGAATTGAGAGAAGGAAAGAGAAGCTTATGAAATTGGATTCGCCGCCCTCGGTACAACTAGCATACCACTCTGGTGAGTCATCTCGAATCCTTTCTTACAGACACACATCGGACCGGGCGGACTCGGCGCTCGTGTGAGTGACGTCGCCGACGATTATGCTCGCGCACGTCGAATGACTTTTAAAGGTGAATCGAAGTGACTCCCGCTTGCCAAGTAACCAGGGTGTATACTGCTAGAAAATTCTCTTTGGGCTGCTGCCATCGACTTTACCATCTAAGGGACCAAAGCAGCCTGGCGGTCGCACAGCGACACGCGCGTATGTGGTCGGGGTGGTTCTGGCGAGACCGTGTTTCGAACTCGCCGAGTCTTCCTAACTACGTCGTCTGCAATTGCATCGCACGGAATCGTCTGTTCGAAGACCTTTAAAGTCAGGAGTCTCTTTTGTTGCCAAATGGTTGCCTTAGACGTGCTTTCGACATTTATCGCAATTAGCGATGCCTGAGTAGTATTGATTTTTGCGAACAAGTATTTGTATTGAGATCAGAATGCGATGATTGATTAATATTAAGTAATAGGGCTATTGTCATACTGCTATTGTCGATAATCTACACAGACGGGTGTAAATAAACGGAAAATTTTCCGGCTGATGCAACGTGAATCAAGCTTAACATGAGAAAGGCATTGGGCAGTCTTCGTATTGCTTCACGGTGCGCATCTACTCTGCCGATAGTGTTCTTTTGTCTAGAGTCTCGTCAGCCGTCAAACTGTTAATTAAGTCAAACAGGGGAAGTAGTTCAACAAGAGGTGCTTCTGTTGCACGATAATTGATATGGCATCGAGGTATCGGCCGTCACTTAAATGAGGCTGCATCGCGATAATGAACCTAGCGAGTGATGCAATCCCGAGCTAACTGTGGGGAGAAAGATTTTTTTCTCCGCCTCTAATGCGCAACGGAAGCGGATAAAAGGCACGGAGATCAGCAACTTCCGCCGTATTATTTGTAGAAACTTTAACCTCGGCGTGTAATTGGAATACGAACTCCCGCTTACGCGAGAAACCTAAAGGAGAGTAACTTACAGAGACGCGCAAAAGCGTGCTTACACGCACATATACCCATATACAAATGAGGTTGGATGGTTTTCATGTGACGCGGAGGTGATTAAAGAGCGAGAGATCTCTTCATTACGGGTTGAGTGCCCGCGCGAATTTTAATTAATATCTGTGGCAAGTCCGCAGTCACGTGTCGCGCGTTCCACACTGTCAAGTCATACACTCCTCTAAGAAATTCAAAATAATAATCACTTTGATCCATTAATTATGTAATCAAACATATAAAAATCTCTCCATTTTTATTTTTTTTCTATTATTAGGGAGAAAAAAATATCACAAAATCCATTTTAAAATGTTTTCGCGAAATTGTACAATACTATTTTAAGCGAAAAATCCATGAAAATTTGTTCACATGTACAAATTTTGTGTAATTAATATGCGTAATACGAATAAGATAATTAAAATTATTATATAATAATAAACAAAATGAAAGTCAATTGAAATGTAATATTTACGTGATATGTGTTAATGATAAATAATAATATAAATTCAAATAAATTTGCGCAACGAAAAGTGATTCAACTTTTTAATAGACCAGAAGCGATTAAGGAAGTCAACATTTTCGTTAATCACAAATTTTAATTAAGCGATATGTGTTCCATTCTACGGTCATTCCACCGTGCCAAAGCTTCATTACTACTGAAAAAAATGTAATACATAGTGATATGTGTCTGCTTCAAAATATTACAAAGATGAAAGATATCCCGTTTCCTCCTTTCAATGTGCAATTATCAAAATTGAATTTGTAAATTGAAGTTTTGGCAAATAGAAATAGCAAATTTCTATTAAAAGTTTTTAAGATATATTAATAGAAGGATAAAGGTATAATAGAAAAAGGGATCCTAGAGTTTTTTTTAAGCTATAGCGACACCATGAGAAATTGCTGACTGACCAACCTTGTCATTAGACGTTGATTTATTATTTCTGGAAGGAATAATGGAATTCCTCTAGAATTATAACTCTTATCTTGTAACACGTAATATTGGCGAAAAGTTTAACCCTTTTTTAGAATAAAGGAAGGAAAGAGTTAAAAGCAATTTTGCACGGAAAATAGTAAATCCTGAGTCTCGCGTGACTGAATTTTTATTATGATGTATGAAGCTAAATTGTATGCATTAGGGTGCATGAAACAATTTAAAGCGTTCCCGCTAGAGAAATCGAGTTCCTGATGTAGCGCGGCATCAGATACGAGCAAAATGTTAATTGCAGTTTATCATATATGAACTTGTATCAAAATAATTAAATTCAGTAATAGCAATTACATTGTTTATGCAAACATTTTGCAATTGTCTTCTCGCCAATAATATTAATTGCGATTGTTACGAAAATCAGTTTTATATGTGCAATAAATGTGCAATCTGGGTAATATCGAGAAATTCACTTAAGAACGGATAATATCGAGTAAATCTCAAAGACGGCACTTATCTCGAGAGTGACTTGTACAAGGAAGCTCCGTGAAAGTCTGCCTTATATTACCGCAACAACGTGTACGTTGCTTTGAGCAAGGGGTCTCGTGAAGAAGTGCCAGAAGCAACAGTTTATGTCAATTTTCCGCTTCATGTAGTGCCGTACTCTTCGTGAAAAAGCAAGCCCAACGTAGCGCGTCGCGGCGGTAGAAGCACACTGTCGTGAAAATATCACCGTTATAAACGCGAAGGACAATGCGTAATTTAGTATGGAAGGGATGATCTTTGCGCGATCGACTTGACGTCAGGCGGAACTACTTTGCTTACCATCGCATTTTCTGTCTTCAATCGCTCTCGATAATAATTATAGTATGCTATAGTTAACAAACTACGTTTAAAGATTCTATAATCATGAAATTAAGGAGAAAAATCTATATCTAAAAACGAGAGAATTTTGACGAGTAAACTTTAAAGACGCGAATAAAATAAAGTGAAAACAATGAGAGATCGTGTGCAAAATCACTATCAAGTACTGTACACTAAAGATGAAATCGCGGGAATTGCAACTTGGCGCGGAAAGTCGCCACTATGTGGCACGGGGGTGGAATTGTTTTCAAATACTCGGATTTTCATTAAATCGAGATCACAATCGCCTCGATTTCCAAGTACGGCGTAAGAAGCCGCCGCGAAGTTCCACGGGTCTGAACGTTCATCAGAAATGCATGGGGTTCCCACAGCCGACTCCGCAACCAGAAAAAGAACTGTTTCCTTCTTGCGGAGAACCTTTACGTGGGGCTGTAAAGTCCGAACGAAATCCGAGATAAGACGGTCGAGTGCACACGTGTGCAACCCACACGAGGACAGCTACGCATCGACCGTTCGTATACAATTTATATACATATCACCGTCCACAGACATTCCCCGGAACGGAGTTTATCTTGATTCCA